CGTCTTCAATTTCCAACTAATGTTGGTATCCTTCCCTTGTAAGCCTAGCAATGCAGAAGGGCCGTCTCCCTTTAGAATCTCTTAACGCTGTTGCAGCAAGTTAGCACCCAATCTCCAACGAAACGAAGCACTGTTCAATCAAGCAAGCTTCGAAAGAAAGCATCAAAATGACAAACAAAAACCTACTTAGACATTAAGCAGAAGAGATTAATGCAAACAGCCGGCATGAAAGCAATGCAACAGTCGCTCATATATTAATAGAAGAATTCTTGTGTCTGCACGCGAGCGCAGAAGTTGAACGATGGTCAAGAGGTGCGATTTTTATTGCCAGATGGGCACTATTAGCGCATTTTCAGCTGTGATGTTTTAGGAACAATTTGAATTTCTAACAAGATATGTATGATCCTCATGGATTACCCGATCTTATCATTTTAGAATAGTTCCAAAACATATGTGTTGGAGGACAAAAACGCGTAAAAATGCAAATGATGACGTGCTGGATAATTCAGTCACGTTTTTACCAAAAGCTGTCAAACTTGACAAGTGGTTGCTTCAGATAGTTAGTAAGCTAGAGCACTTTACTAGTATACTCAAAAGATTCGCACAGCTCTAAATTTGGCTTTAAAAAATCCCCGCAAGAATTTAACCGAAGATTTAAGCTGGGTCCCACTAACAGCATTTAGCAGTTTCAATCAAATTCAATCTACAGTCCCGGCAAAGGGTACGTCTTGATCACTTTCAACAATCGATACTGTACAAAAAAAGCAATGTAGAAAAGGAAGAAAACGAAAGAAAATCCGACAGTAAGAAGCCATACCCAGTTCAGCTAACAAAAACTGGAGGACGTGTTTGTCTTGGCGTTTCATCAATCGGCAAATTTCAGCGAAATTTGAAAAAGCAGTTTTCTTACTTCCAGCACGAGCCACCTAAATCGCCTTACTGATATGCAAAGTAAACAGTATCAAAGAGATACATACCTCAGGCGGTTTCATGGCGAACTTCTTCTTTTCACCCGACAATTCAGGATTCTTTTCACGCATAATGTTGAAGACAAGGGTCAAGCACTCATCATACGTATAATCCGGCCATGGTCGAGTGGCATCGATAAGATTCGTAACACCAATACCTATCCCTAAGGATAATCGACAATTGTACGTTCTACAGCATAGGAAAAGGAGTGAACTTTACAGCACCTAAATCTGGCAAACCATCGTCCTTTTTCTCTTCGTCTTCTTCGACTTTCACCTTCTTCTTCTTTTTGCCTCCAAGTTTTAGCTCTCCTCAAAGACAATGTTTATATCGATCTGAACCAATCAAGATAATTACCTAAATCGTCTGCAACAGCTTCAGGAGTAGGCGCTGGTGGTTCATCATCGTCAAGTTTGATTACTTTCTTTGTCTTCTTTTTCTTTCCTAAGTGAAGCTCCTAAAACAGACACTCAACGAAATGAAGTTGTACGACTGAGAATTTT